GGTATTTTACAGCATGTTTTTATTACATCTGCATGGCTTTGACTGTGGATTTTTAAAAAAATGATCTTCACCGTAAGCCTACACTAGTTGCCCATGTCTGTTAGAGCAGGATCAGGTGCCTTTGTTTCCCACGCTGCACTGTCACAGTGATGGTGCGAGTCAAAGCTTCTTTATAATGCAACAATAAAGCATGCGGTAATCAAATATAGGCGAATGCTGAAAATGTACTGTAGTTGGGTCATTCCTTATAAAAGTTGCCCTTTGTGTTTCCCATGAAAATGTGTAAACAATGACAAAACATGGTTTTTACTATATTATAAAAGGCACATTATTGTTGTCTTTCTGTATGAAGGATGTGTTTGCTTAATTAAAGAATATAGTATTTATATTTAGCACTCTAGATCTTACCTGACCTTAACATGTTAACCGTGTTACCATAATCTGTAAACAAAAATTATTATTGTGAATTTGATATTCCTAAAATTATTACTGCAAACTTCTATTTTTAATTCATTTAGGTTGATCTTATATAGTCAACTCTTAAATCATGATTTTGTATCATAAACAAATATCGAAAACTAGATTTTTGTAGAAATATCAGCATTAAATTCCCTTTCTAATAAATACCTTGTAGATTCATGACCTTCAGCACCGGGATTGTAGTGAATAAATTAACTGTAAAGCTATTGTTTAGTGTAGCTGATGGCACAATCAATTTAGTAACAAGAAGGCATTTTCAGATATGTATATATATGAAATATGCTTTTAAAAATAAAATGTTTCAATGGAAAAGGCACCCAGTTTCATGTAATGACCCAGTTTCTGCAGGCTCCACAGAAGAAAACAGACAGGCTAATAGTTAAAAGTTAGAAACTGAACATATAGCATATAAACACACGTAAGTACTTACCAATGATATAATAAGTGTATATATACAATATGGACTCAAGAATATCACTTAAGAATGCTGAATGATAAATACTAACTGCCTATTGAGAATGTGGTAAATAATCCTCCTGAATTGTTGAAAATTGCATAACGTTTATAGGGGCTTTCAATGTCTGGGTGCTTGACGTCATAAGTATTGGTAAATGCAGATTAACCCATTTAATCCAATTTGTGAACAAAATTTATGTTGGAGTTTGAAGGGCCTTAAAAGAGTTGTTGTTGCGTTATAGAGTTATCAACTACTGATGAAAGTGCAGGTTTTCTGGAATTTATGTAAACATAATTTTCTTTTCTTTTTCACCACAACTAATTAGTAGAAATGTTTTAATTATTGTTTGCAGTTACCCATTTGGTCTTAGTGTTTAACTTTCTTTAGACGCAAAGGGTCTAAAGTTGAAATAAATGTAGTGGGTGGCTTTTCTAATCCTTTCTTGCTTTTCAGAAGCTCCAGAGACATGGATTTTGGGATTGGACACATTATTGTGGGAATGACTCAAGCCAAACTTGCATCTGATTCTTAATCAGTCCTCTGTTGTTGGATATATAATGCCGGATTACTCAAGACGATGGAGTTGAATTATGCTTTCATAAGTGAAAACGGGAAGGAAGTGGATAAAACTTTGGACTGGAGTTACGTAGACTGGCATGAAAAGAAAACGGTCAGAGAAACAGATGCACAGACCCAAACCCAATGCGTACAAAGTAAGGACAAAGACACACAAACTGCTAGTCCTTTCATAATGCGAATAGATTTAGGAAGGACCCCCTCCAGACTGAGGTACGGTTCCCTTACAGAGTCTGACCGCATGCCTCCACACTTATTTCAGTTTGACAGACAAGCCCCGGCCCGCATCTCCACATCTCCCACTCTGAGGAGGATGAGGAGCACGAGAATCTTCTACAGAGATCCAAGCAAGTCAGACGGTCCTTTAGGAGAGGAGCCTCCCACTCCCACGAGTCCCCTTCCTCCATTATTCCAGCAGAAATCTCCACTGGTGGTTCAGTCGGATGGAGAGAATGGGAACTTTGAATCTTCAGTGATTTATGGGACAATTAGATCACACAGATCAAAGACCCTTGACAATGGCGTAATTTGCAAAAGCAAAGAGTCTCATGATTCAAAAGAGCCAGTTTCTGATGATAATGAGAGCACAACCAATGACAATGACCAGGTATACAATGAGTTCAAGATTTCTTAAATAAATCAATTAAAAATTTGATTTTTTTTAAAGTTTAAAAATTAAAAATGGTTTTGCATTATATTATAGGTTTTGCATTCCTAACCCTAAATATATATGAACAGGAAATATGATATTTACTGAAACTTATTACATCTATCTAGCGATCTGATATTTTTTAATATTCCATGCTGTCCATGGCAAATGCAACTGGCACCATCCTCGGTATTACTGTATTATCGTTTTTATTTTTGCAGAAGGTTTAAGGTAATATACAGGTAAAATAATGAATTAAAAACTTATGAAAACTTATCTCCACTTATGCATGTATTATATTTATGTAGTAGTTGTATAAAATTAGCTTATTGTTTTTAAATAGTTCATTTTCATTTTAATATTTTGTGTGCTTTTGGCATTTTTTAAATATTATTATTTCAGTTATTTTTAATTCCGTTTTAGTTATAGTTCAGATTTAGTTTTTATTTATTTCCATTTAGTAGTTTTAGGGCTTCAGCTTTCCAATTTTAAAATAAGTTTTTCATATAATATTTATATTTTAGTTTATTTTATTTGAGATTTATTTCAATTAACAAACATGTTTTTTAATAGTTTTAGATTCTGTTAACAATATTAACCTGATCATCTGCTGGCTTATTATTATCCATTTCTGCTGACTTTATATTATCCATTTCTAAGTTGATAATAATCAGTTTCCTTTGTTATGATATGTGATGATACAATCTTTTTTACAAATGGCAAGAATCTTTCCGCTCTTAGCAAAGAAAGCCTTGTCTCATTCTTCTTCGAACTCCCAAAGTAGTAGTAGTTCACAATAAAAGCTTCTGACGGCAATTGAATCAGTTGCTTCGTGCACTGACAGCTTCGAGCAAACCCTCTGATGAGACTCCTTTCAACACAGTCAGCAATCACCAAATAATGGAAGGGTCAGTGAAGGATCAAAAATATAAAAGAGAAGCCCCATTCACTCCTTTCAAGCATTGATCCAAGCCTTGCCACAATAGAGTGAGATATCAGTAGAAGTGAGAACTTTAGGGGTCTTTAACTCACACATTGCATGATGATATCCTCTGAAATTGATATTTTGCAACTGATGACCAGTGTTTTTCCCTCATCAAGTACTTTGCTCACGTTTTGCTGTATCTTCTTTTGATTACAGGTCAAGGATCCCTGTCATAAAAGGTATGTGATCTGTCTCTATCTAATGTTTTGCATAAACCGTCCCCACCCGAGTCATATTTGCATGTGAACCATAATTCTGCCCTCAATGTCCTAGTCACTTTGTTCTGTGTCAAACCAGCGTTTCCTTGTTCACATAAACTATTTGTCCTGTACGTGTTGCTCAACATCTTTAATTTGTAGTGTTGTTTCATTAATCCAGGAATTAGTTTGTGTGGAAACACACTGTTTGGGGTAATGTGGCCAAAGCAGGACACTTTTTCAGTAGAGCGCCACCATGCTGACGCAGGGGGAGCTGGGGTAGAGGGAGGTTCATTGTTCATTGTATTGCTGCTTTGTTAGCTGTGCATGAACTTTTAAGAGAGAGCTATTGTCCCATCGTTCAGCCCAGACAAACTCTCATTAGTGCTGCTTTTCTCCCCGTTGGGCCCACTGTGCTTGGACCATGGTCGTCTTTTCAGCGGTGGATAATTAGGCAGCTATTGTGGCCTTAATTACAGTATGGCACCGTCTGATTGCAGTGCTCATCCCTGGACGGCGATTGGACAGGACAGTTATTCATTATTCCGTGGAGGTGCGAAGACAAAGCTCCCTTCTTTGTGGCTGTGCCGGGGTTGGGATAGTCAGCATAGAGGGCTGCTTTATTCTAGGACTGCATTGTGGATGTGCCTCTAGATAACAAGCCATTAGCAGTGACCTGTTTTTTAATGTCGGTAAAAAGGAGATGTGCTGAGTGACTTTAACTTGTAGGGTTTCAAAACCTAATGTACTGGCATCTGTGTTTCTGTTTGCATTTGCAAAAGAGAAGTCAGAAGTGTAAGTAGCAAACACATGAGGCTTTTTATTAGCCTCTGTATCTCTGAAAAGGTCCAAAAGGATGCAAATGATAAAGTAAAACGTTAATAAGGAAGCATTTGATGGGTTCATTGTGCCAGGTGCTGTGGGAATGGGTGTTCACTTTATAATGCTGAAGAATTCATATCTCATAACAACTGTAAATGACTCAAGTATTTATTGGTATACAATCCCATATTTACTGTGATGAACACAGAAAGATTGATAATAGTATCTGCAGTTGTTATTAT